GTAAGTCCCTTTTTCTTCGTATCTGGCCAGATTGTAGCTAAGCTGAAATTTGTGTCTAATTTTATCCCAGACTGCCAGAGACCTCATCCTTTGGGATGAGGACCCATTGTGTTTTAGACAGCCACATGTAGTACATTAAAACATACAATCCCATCAGTTGTACTTCAAGTTCCATCCACCTCATTCCTAAGGCCACAGGACTATTTGTGCCAACTGCGCTGCATAATATTACATTTAAAGGATGGGAAGTCCCAGTCCCCCTCCACCTCGTCTTGGGTCTGTAGATCATATTTCTCTGTAACCTGTGCTGCTTATTGTGCCATATAAATGCATCTGTGTGCCTTCGAGGTCCCTCTTTGTTAGCAGCAGTGGTAAAGCTTGGAATAATAAAAAAAAAATTCTTGTAAGCATTTTGGAAGCATCTTTTTAACACTCCCTCCCAGGATACGCATGTCTAGCTTCACGTCCCCTGACTAAGCGGGCACTCTGGCCGAGGAGAAGGGTAGTAGCGTTAGGAAAGTGGATTGGTCCGATGGACCCCTGCCCCATACTGTTCCACAGAATATCTAGGGCAACAAGCAACAGATGATACTGCTTTAGTGACATTGCAGTGTAAGCTTCCTACACTATCCCGCGGAAGCTTAGAGGGTGGGGAGGCTTATTAGATAAAACAAGGTTAATACATTGACACAAGCTCAGACACCGCACTCCTCCCTAGTGACAAGACTAATCTCATACGGATGAGAGCGTCTCCCTACAGCATATAGAGCTTCCAGTCAAGAAGGGAGAGGGAGAGGGTTAGGGAGGAATCTCTGAGGAGGGTGAGGAGCAAAGGGGGGAAACTAAATGGGAGGTGTGACGGACCGCCTGGCACCGACCAGTTACCTACGTCAATTGCTGCTTCCTAGTAAGGCGAATACCATAAGCATTGCACTGGAACACCATAACCACCATAAACCCCACAAACTTGGTTGGGGTCTCGCCGTTGTCCACTCACCCTGGACCCAAGAACAGAATCCAGCTTCCAGTGGGTAGGCCTCTCCTAGTCCAGAGAGCGTGGCAAGAACAAGCTCTTAGAAGAGCTTAGTGATTATACTCAGGGGAGTATAGTAATTATAGCAATCCCCCAGGGTGTAGGTCTTCAATCCCCCAAACATGAGCTGAAACTTCATGAAGGTGCAAGATGATCTGAGCTTTAATGGTTCAGGTTGGCTTTTATACAATTCTTCAGGCCAGAGGAACACCCCTCTGGACCTGATGGGGCACAGGAACACAAAGGACACAAACAAATCAAAACAAACATACAGTCTGTGACACAGCCATGTACAGCACACAATCCCTCCCCTCTGCTTCGGAGATAATTGAGTAAAGTCCTGTAAGTAACTCAATTATTTCCAGGCAGAAAAAACACATTTTCACAAAGTTCAAAAAGTACCCCAAAACATAACATACCCCCAAAAATTACAACATGTTACATCCCCAGATAGTCCTGATCTGGGTGAGCAACATATCAAAAAACCACCCAGATCAGAGCAGGGGATCAAAAGTTTCATGGATGTCTTTTTTTGACCGGCTGCAAGCATGGCTTCATGCCCAAAACAGTTCCAGGGAATTAGGACCAGCTGTCGGTTTCTCTTTGTGGAGTACAAAAGTACTTACATTACATAAATGGAGCCTTTTAAAGTGTAATGGGCAAGGTATATTGCAGGGCCCATAGTCACAAGGTAGGAGGCAAGCAAACAGGCCGCTCCAAAACCTTGTGGCAAACTCACAGAAAAGGGGGAGTTTGTCACAGGAAGGAGGGGAGCAGAGGGGGGAGGGAAGACTATAGGCCAGTGAGGCCAGTAAACCTTACTTCAGTAGTGGGGAAAGTAATGGAAGCCATGTTAAAGGATAGGATTGTTGAATATCTAAAAATACATGGATTTCAAGATCAGAGACAACATGGGTTTACTTCAGGGAGATCATGCCAAACTAATCTTATTGATTTTTTTGATTGGGTAACTAAAATAATAGATCAGGGTGGTGCAGTAGACATTGCTTACCTAGATTTCAGTAAGGCTTTTGACACTGTTGCACATGGAAGGCTTATAAAAAAATCTTTAAGTTTGGATTCCAATATTGTTGAATGGGTAAGGCAGTGGCTGAGTGACAGGCAACAAAGGGTTGTAGTCAATGGACTATATTCGAAACTTGGGCTTGTCACCAGTGGGGTACCTCAGGGATCTGTACTTGGACCCATTCTCTTTAATATTTTTATTAGTGATATTGCAGTAGGTCTTGATGGTAAGGTATGTCTTTTTGCTGATGATGCCAAGATATGTAACAGGGTTGATGTCCCAGGAGGGATAAGCCAAATGGCAAATGATTTAGGTAAACTAGAAAAATGGTCAGAGTTGTGGCAACTGACATTTAATGTGGATAAGTGCAAGATAATGCATCTTGGACGTAAAAACCCAAGGGCAGAGTACAGAATATTTGATAGAGTCCTAACTTTAACATCTGAGGAAAGGGATTTAGGGGTGATTATTTCTGATGACTTAAAGGTAGGCAGACAATGTAATAGAGCAGCAGGAAATGCTAGCAGAATGCTTGGTTGTATAGGGAGAGGTATTAGCAGTAGAAAGAGGGAAGTGATCATGCCATTGTACAGAACACTGGTGAGACCTCACTTGGGTATTGTACGCAGTATTGGAGACCGTATCTTCAGAAGGCTATTGATACCTTAGAGAGAGTTCAGAGAAGAGCTACTAAATTGGTTCATGGATTTCAGGATAAAACTTACCAGGGAAAGTTAAAGGATCTTAACATGTATAGCTTGGAGGAAAGACGAGACAAGGGGGATATGATAGAAACATTTAAATACATAAAGGGAATCAACACATTAAAGGAGGAGACCATATTTAAAAGAAGAAAAACTACCACAACTAGAGGACATAGTCTTAAATTAGAGGGACAAAGGTTTACAAATATCAGGAAGTATTACTTTACTGAGAGGGTAGTGGATGCATGAAATAGCCTTCCAGCTGAAGTGGTAGAGGTTTATACAGTGAAGGAGTTTAAGCAAGTGAAAGTATTTTAGAAAATTGGGCAGACTAGATGGGCCAAATGGTTCTTATCTGCCGTCACATTCTATGTTTCTATGAGATAGCCATCACTTTGCCATAGGGAAGGTACGTGCCCCACTTACCAAACTGACCCTCAGATGTTCCAACAGAACGGGGCACACTGACGCTTACCTAGTGAAACATGGGCCCTTATCCTGATACAGCTAGACACACCTGGGATATTTATCCTACCTCTTAGCTCTATCCCTAAGAATAGGGTTCAACAGCTGACCTCCAGGGACTGATAACATGTCCCATGACTGCCCTCCCAATAGGGTGATTCACATAGCCTATGATCTGGCCGGAGTTCGGAGGGGTTCGCAAGATCCACTGGAGCTTACAGAGCCGAATGTATGCACAGGCTAGAGGAGTCCCCTCCTCCAGCATGACCGACCCACCCCCCCAATGGGAAGCAGGAACACCCTCCCTAATACAAGTGCTGACTCGGATGAGGACTTCCCTGACTCTTATACGAGGCCTTCAGTGAATACGTTTTTCGTGTAATTGTGTCGTAACAGTTTGCCACTAGTTAATATTCTTTGGTGTAGACATTGTCACAGTTGATTGTGTATCACGTAATAGCTTACTTCTAATGCTTCAACTTAGCAATTAAGCATTGAAATGCAATGACTCATGGAACCTCATCTCTCACGAGCGCTGTGCGCCGTGGAGGTGCTGGAACATGTACCCCGCTTAGGTCTGGCTGGTGGTAAGACCAGTCTACTGAACTATACTTACCGGTGCAACCAGCTCATACCTTCTTTTTCCCCCCCTATATCTGTCTTTCCTAATCTTTACCTTCTCTCTGGGGTGGGGCGCTCGGGCGGGGTTAGGGGTGTGGGTGAGGGGGAGCGGTGGCCATAACTTTTGTACGAACATCGACGGGTTTGCCAGACAGCGCGACCCCAAGATTTAACCCATAGCTGTAACTATTTCCTCACTGAACGTAAAGGCCTGAATACACCCACCAAACAATGCCTCCTATTCCGTGGATTAAAGAGGATGAAGTCAGATATTGCCTTCATTCAGGTAACGTATTTCCCTAAACGTGTTAAAACTAAGGGACCATACCTTCGCGGTGACTCACAAAGCTCACGCACACCGCAAACGCAACGGGGTGGCGATTCTGATTAGGAACAGCTGCCCAATGCAAATTACATTAACTGACTTCGACTCTGACGGGTGTTACCTTATAGTGTCTGGGACCCTGTATTCTCACACAATCCATCTGATTAACTCTCAGGCATCACTTCACATTCAACTCAGTGAAGACTGCATTTACCATCCTGCAGAAACACCCATCACTCTCAGGTACTGACTAAAGCTTGGAAGATACTCCACCTCATTTATTCCCGGATTGCTACAATATTCTCTTGTGTTACTATAGAGTTGTTACAATTTATACCTGTAGTTTGCCACTGTAATGTTATGTACATGCAGTGTGCACTACTGTTATTTAATGTTTCTGACCAATATTTCATGTAGACAGTTATTAATATTTTGGGTGATAGAATTCGGTTTCTAAACTTTTCAATAGTTTATAACACATGCCTACTCTACCTCCCTCTCCTCCCCCCTCCCACACTCTCCTTTTCCCCTCCCCAGTCGTAAATACCTTCATATGACTGTTCTATCTCTATTCCTCAGGCCTCACTTCACATTCAACTCAGTGAAGACTGCATTTTTTTTTCTTGGAGGAGGAGGAGATTGACAGGGCAATCACCGGACTGGAAGGAAACAAACGACTTTAGAGTAAATGGAGTACCGGGTACAGACATGTCTTTAGCTAATATAGTATTATTAGCCAAACCAGACAAAGACCCTCTGCTACCTGGAAGTTACAGGCCCATATCATTGATAAATCATGACATGAAGATCTTAGCTAAGATTCAGAACAACAGACTTACACCATACCTAAAATCCCTAATAGACGTGGATCAAGTAGGATTTATACCAGGGAAGCAACTCTTCGAAAACACACATAGAAACATCAACCTCATATGGAAGCAAGTGGCCACTAGTATGCCGACACTGGTTGTCTCTATAGACGCTGAAAAGGTGTTCGATAAGGTCAAGTGGTCGTACCTATTTGCCCTACTGACACAGGTTTCCCGAACAAATATATCACGATAGTGAAGGCCATGTACAGCATTGTCCGGGCACAAGTGCAAATCACTGGCGCCCCTCCCTCACCTTTTCAACTACATAATGGCACTAGACAAGGCTGCCCACTGTCCCACTCCTGTTCGTCCTGGTATTGGAGCCTCTCTTACAGGCGATCAGGCAGCACCCTAACATACATGGAGTCAAGATGGGGGGAAGGGACTTCGTAGTAGCAGCTTATGTGGATGATGTGCTCTTGATACTCACGAGGCCCGTGGACTCTCTGACTGCCCTGAGGGAGGTCCTCAACAAATATATCGGGGTATAAGGCAAACATGTCTAAATCAAGTGCACTTCCAATAGGTATAAATTCGACGGAGGTCACATTGATTTGCAGTATGAATAACATACACTTAAAGCAGGACTCCCTTAAGTACCTAGGGGTCCATCTCACCGCTGACCCAGGGTCTCTATACAACTGCAATTATGTACCTTTATGGAAAACATTAATCATAGATATGGAACAGTGAATTGATAAACCCATATCTTGGATAGGGCGGATTCCTTCTGTATAAATGAATGTCTTACCACAAATCTTTTCCTATTTCAGGCATTACCAATACACCTGACCAAAGCACAACTGCACCCATACAGCATATGATAGGTAAATTCACATGGCAAAACAAAATGCATAGGATATCTTATTCTTTTATTACCTTGCGGCATAGCTGATACAATTTGCAATGTGGCACTCCCCCTCCTCCCCCCCCAGATGAAAAGAAATGGGTGGAAATAGAATTTGCTCATGATAGGCGCAGATCTACCCCAATTTATAATATGAGTTCCCAGGGAAGAAAGACCTATGGTACAAGTCACTTGCCCAGGAATTCTAAACTTTCTTAGAGTTTGGGACTCATATGGGCTGAAATATGGTCTTGCGACATCCCCCTCCCCCTCATGCCTCTTCTACGTAACAAAGCGTTTAGCCCAGGTATGGCAGCTAGGAATTTCAGAAACTTAGAAAGACCGGGCCTTCAGAGTACACCACCTATACCAGGGGAATGAACTTATTACATTCGATGATCTCAAACAAGAACAATACTTTACTCCGGCTGTGGTGAAAGTGACCTCGCCACTGGGTTCTGGAGGGGCCTGATTGCTCGCCTTTTGCCCCAAGATTATGCCCCTGTGGTATATGGCCCTTTAACCCTTTAAGGACCAAACTTCTGAAATAAAAGGGAATCATGACATGTCATGTGTCCTTAAGGGGTTAAACTGTTATTGGGGCATATTGAGATTTTGGGAACAATGCCCCTTTAAGATTGTATCCCCAGACCTTTAAAATACTGTGTGAATGTCCCTTTCTCATATGGTTCGGTAATTGGAGTTTACCAAACCAAATACCGAACAGGCGGACCACACAGAAGTGGAAGTGTGAGGCCAAGAGGCCAATTTACTTCCCAGGCTGGGGGGTTACTGCAGGTTAATTGCCGACCGCTGGGTTATTTAGTCAAACGCGGTCAGCAGTGTGTGCCGTCAAATCCCTGGAACTAAAATCGGCTTTACATTTGCACGAACACCGCTGACCCTTACCTTCTCTGCAACTTCGACGCTTCGGCTGAAATCGAAATGCGTTCGATTCGAACGCTATGTTATACTGAGCCATTTGCACAAACGGCCCCGTTTGTGCATTCGAATGGGACTTAGTTATTTTTCTGTGTGAAATAGACCGACCGCAAAACACAAATCTATAGAACTCTTTTGGGCAGGAAAGCCATGCTTGCGGTCGGTCAAATAGGACTTCCACTTAACTTTTTAATCACTGAAGGGAATTGTATGATTTTTGAGTATGTTTGCATTTGAAGTATGCTGATTAATAATATGTAACTTTTATAGTTATGAGAATTGTGTAAAAACTGTATTTTCCTGCCTGTGATAAGTTAACCTATGTAGGATTTTGATGGAATGAGTGGGAGTGTTTAACTGTATTGTACATGTTTAATTGGCTGTGCCACAAAACTATGTGGGTGGTAACATTGTATAAAAACCTGTAATAAAAGAAGCAATAAAACCCCAGCTCAGGCTGTTCCTGTTTACACTCCAAAACTGTGTATCGTCCTGTTATTGGAGTGAAGAAGCTTTGCTCCTGTGTCTGCTGTTCCAGCTTGCAGGAAATTCACCGGGGAAAGTCCTTGTAAGGACTGGAGCCAATTCCCCATTCGGTTCCAGAGTTCCCAGGACTGAGTGTCGTCCAGTGCCTGGAAGGGTCTACTGGAGTGCTTTGAGCCCTCAGGAAGCACTAGGAGCATCCTTCAACGTAGGTACCCAGTCGGGGTACCAGGTGATCCGTTACACCGATGAATGGATGGACCCGAAGGGAACATTGATACATAAAATTACACTGCACGACGGGCAATAGCATACACATGGCTAAAGCAGGAATTACCTTAAATAGCGAGTGTGATAAATAGAATCAAAGAGATTCATCTGATGGATGAGTGGCACCATTAAGGCTTTCCAAAAACTTTGGGAACCATGGGACAGTAGTCCTCTGGGCACTTAACAGTAGAGTCTCGCCTATTCCATGAAAATTTACAAGACAAACCAATTGACGGATCGCCTCCCCGACAGATTCGGGGCCCCCGTCCATTTCTCTGCCGGTTCCCTCCCCTGCACCCCCCCTCCGATCCGTCACTTCTCCTTTCTTTATTTCCTTTCTTCTCGGGCCATCTTCTACAGGGCACAATTTGAGATCTATGCAAATGTACATGTAATACACATAAAGTACATAACCCCAACGAGATGACATGTAACGCTGATATAGGCTAATGTGAAGACTAACGTCTTGGATCAATATGACACTGCAATTTTAGCAGGGGTTCTTAAATGTACTTATGTTTAGTATACGTTTAGGTTAATAAGTAAAATGTGCACCCTGATCATGCCACAACAGTACCTGTACTTTTGTAACCGCGGCTGGTTCCCTTAATTACCACTATAATGTCTTAAAGCATAGAACTTAGCAGGGCTAACCATACATTAGTATTTAGCAGGTTGTAAAATATCAAAACTTACTGTTCTCTGTTGGCTCTGATTGTTCTCTGTAGTAAAAGTTCTTGGAGTCACCCTCTCCAGGACAAACTGGCCAACAGTAAGAAAATGTTGGCTCTGAGCTCTCCCTGGTGCAGAAATATGATGGTCAGTGAAAAACATGTAACATTTCATATTGTGTCTCACCATTTGTATCATCAGGTATGTTGTGAATGCTCATCTGTACCATAGGAATAAATAGATACCACTATGTGGGGAAAGCAACTAGTAACTTGGTTAATAATCTTTTAACCTCCGCATTTTCCCAGACCACAGCCTCACTACTTTGGGGTTGGTTGGTGCACTGAAATCCCAAAGTAACCCAAATGTGGTTGCCCAGTAAGATGGAGCAGTGTCTGTCTCCAAGTCTCTCCTCTGTGTCTTAACATTTAATAGTACACCTATTTATACTTTAGGTGTCTCCATTTTAGGGTTACCGGAGTTCATATATGAAAAAGTAACACTTCTTTTACTTTATTCATTTTAGGACCTCCCTTAACTTGGCAAAAAAAAGTCCATAACTAAAGGGTGCATACGTCATGGAAATTTTCCTGACTTAGTTCAAGATGGCATCTTAAAGTCTAAACATCCTTATCTACTTAGGGTTACCACAGTATAATTGTGTACTGAAAGAGTCCGATAGCCTTAAAGCTTTTTTATGCATTATTAAGTGTTCTTGCATAGCAAGACCACTTATTGTTATCTCACATATATATTATTAAGTGTTCTTGCAAGAACACTTATTGTTATCTCACATATATATTATTCTTATTATAGCCAAATTTGCCACCCTAACTCCTCCCACAGTTTTTACACTACATAGACCAAAATTTACCAAAACGTGCAGATTGTTCCCGATCGGATTGCTATTACTTTGTGGAACGTTTCGCCGAATGGTTCACGGAATATCGTCGTTTTTGTGGCGCAATTTGTCCCATAGGAATGAATGGCAAAGCTAGAGTGGGAGCTTCCAAAAGCTGAAAAATCAGGACATGATTTCTAAACTGCCACCACTCCCTTATTTTCAGGCCCACCTACACAAATCTTATATCAAAACGTTCACCTATCCCTGCTGCCACTAAACATGTCAACGGCTAAGCCGTAGTCCTGATAGTTTTCACAATATGACCATTTGTTTGCAACCAACGCCGTCCATTGACATTCATTGAAACTTCACTCTGCAAAGCTCAAATTTGAAGTGCAATTTCTAAACTGCGACTGTGCCTTCAATTTTAATACTTCAGAGACATACTATGCATCAAAATGTAGGTCTGGGTCTTGTGATTCTCACAATATAAAGCTCTTCGCTATAGGATTTAAAATACGACCGTTTGAAGATGGCAACCGCCAAAATACTCTGACCTGTGCCAGGCTGCAGCAGAAAGTGATTTCATAGACAGGGCTTTTTGAACACCTGCTAATGTTTTTATAAATGTATGGTTTAATGTAACTGTGCAACAACGTTGCAATAAAATGTGCTATATCAGTGATAACCGTTACTCCGCCCACTCCAGTTGTAGACTACTGGTGGAGGCAAGAACACTTCACACAATTTCCCCAGAAATTGTAGCTTTTCTAGTTGTTATTGTAATTCGTCTGGGACAAAATGGCGCAAACGTAATATGCACTGAGGTTATTGCTTAAAGAAACATCTATGAAAAATAATATGTTTCATTTCTAACACCATGTCAGTTTGCAATATCTCTTAAAGACAAAGTACACAGTTTAAGTAATACAACATTTCATTCTAAAACTTGTAAGATTTGCATTTGCCCATAACACTATGATGTAATATGCGATGAGTCTGTTCTGGCGACTTATGCTTCTATATGTTTTCTGCACAATAAAAAATTGAAAAAATAAAGAAATAAAAATAAATAAATTGTGCAGTCTAGAGGTATG